TCTAGGGTTGATCTGTTTTAAATTATTATAGTGCAAAAGAACAATAGCACCAAGGAAGTTGATCAGTAACATGTTTTTTTGTTAACTGCATTGGACAGAATGAGGAATTTACTGCATAAAAGAAAGAGTTGCATCAAGCTTTCTGAGGGATTACAGGAAAATTCTGAGTATTGACCTTGCTTGGAAAAAGACTATTTAGAAGAGGCAGGCCTGATGCTCAGTAGCAAATGTACAGGGCTTTACTCCTAGCTTCTTAAGTAATCATGCTGCTGTCTAGTTCCCAAGAAAAAAGGCTTAGGGAACAAAATAGAATAGTTCAATTCGAAGGGACCTCCAACTATCATCGAGTTCAACTGCCTGACCACTTCAAGGCTGACCTTCCCTCCCTCTCCCCTTGCCAAAATACAGTGAAAAATCAGTGGGCTGGTTTTGTGTGTATGGATATCTGGAGCCATGTCTGTGAACAAGAGGAGAAAATTCAGCTGCTGACACCTTGTTCTGTAGACATGAGCTGAGATCTTTGGATCTCCACTGTAAGAGTTCCTGACTCTTATTCCAAGTGTGGTTTTACTAAAATATGGTGACTGCCTAAATAGAACAGGAAGATGCTACAGACCAGATACTCTGGTCTCATATACAGTAACAAAGAAGCTGTTGTAAAAAGTCACATAAGATGAGTGGTTGTTTTTCCTCTAAAACCTTCTGAAAACTCGTCCAAAATTTCATGGGCAATTTATTTTATGTCAAATGTCTTGAATCCATGGTACTAAATCCTACACAGCTTGAAGAACTTTAGACAATCACTGAGTTTGTGTACACATAAATATATATTACCTAAAATACTTAGAGAACACAAGGTGGTGAAAAAGCATCTGTGCTCTTTAATATCCCTGGCAATGGGTTTGCCAAAGCAGCTGTGGTACTAAGGCTTAGTACAGCACACATGACTCAGTCAAGTTCTCTTTCAGTGAGAGCTAACCACTGGCAAAAAATAAGAGATCTCAAGTTTTTATAAGTTCTGAGTGCTTTCTTCTTCTGTTGGTGGGAAAGAGAAAAGGGCTGGGGCGGGGAAAAGGTGTTTTAAAGGTTTCTTTTACTTCTCATTATCCTCCTCGGACTCTGTTAATAATAAATTTACCTTATACCTTTAAATTTGAGCCTGTTTTGCCCTTAGAGTAATTTTCTCTCAGTTCTTATCCCAACTCATAAGCCCTTCATTAATTTTTTTTCCCCTTTCCTCTGTCCAACTATAGCAGAAGAGAGTGAGTGAATGACTTTTGTGGGTGCCTGGTGTTTGGCCAGTATCAAACCATGACAAGTGTATGCACAGGGCCCTCTGCAGACACAAAAACTTGGTAACTCATCAGGCCTCTTCTTCCTTGAGTCATTGAGCACAGATTAATCTTTGCTCCAGAATTCATGTGGCCTTTGGGTGTTCTAAAGCAGCAGCCCCTGAGCACCACACAACTTCCATGGTGAGTCTGCTACAGACTTTGTATCTGTCCCCCTCAAAACATCAAGTCATGTTTGGAAAAGAAGCTGCTAGTTCCAGATGGATCACAGAATGACATCGTGGATCCACTGAACAAAACTGAAAGATGTTTTAAATCAATTTTAAGACGAAAGGAGAAAAAGAAACAACCAACACCACAGAACCAAAACCCTGCTCTTCAACAGGAGAACAACATACTCTCTGTTGGTGTCTTGCACAGAATTTCACTCGACTGGAGCTAATGTCTGCTTCAGAGGAAAGGATTATGGGGATAGTAAGAGAGGTTTCTAAGAAACAGAAGAATGGTCTGATCTGAGCAAGGCAAATAATGAGGCCTGCTGGCAAATGAAACACCGAGCCTAACATCAAGCTGTAAATGAGCAGAGATGAATATGCTGTTAGAAGCTGCTTTGTGGAAGGACTTAACAAAAGTGTTTAGTGAATGCAAACCATCTTGCACCCAGAGAAGTTAGGAGGGAACAGTGCAGATTCATAGCAGTAGGTATTCACCACCAAAAGCTGCTCTTGTGAACGCTGATGGGTTAAAGTAGTACAAAGTAAATGAGTAACTTTACATTTCAACTACAATTTATGTGCAAACTCACAGAGAAGAGGAGATTTGTGGTTTCTGTTTTGTCTAAAGCCCAAAGGATTCTAATAAATGAATGCACAGCAGGAATTGCTTTTGTTCTCTCCTTTGTTCTTACCCTGGGAAGGTCTAGAGTTATTTGTCACACTGTCCCCAAGTGGACACACTGTGCTAAATGGTGTAAGAGTTAATCTGCGTAAGTTTTGAGCAGACAATTTTATTTAATTGACCATGGAATAAGCATGAGTTTAATGTCTCAAATACGTTTAAGAGGAAAAATCATTGTATAAAATGGCCACGACTGCCTGCCAGCATTAATGATATAACCCACTCTCCATGGCCAGGTGGTACAAAAAGTCATCCTCATGACAAGGAATGGGACTCTTAAATACTGTTTTCATCTTCCCAGTGTTTGCAGAGCTCTAGCACACGGGGGGTGGTTGGAATGAGGCTGGGGGTGGCAGGGGTTGTGCTGTGTTCTCAGCTGTGGTCACTGCAGGGGTGGCTAAGGCTGGGTCTTTACCAAAGCAAGCAGTTAACAGCTTTGGGTGTGTGACACCATGCCCAGCCCACGCAGCTGTCCCTGAGCACCACAAGCTGGGTGAGAAGTAGCTGGTGTTCCTACTTCTGATGGCAGTGGCTTCTCCCAGCACTGCTGCCTCTTGTCCCACCTGTGTGATCATTCTGGCAGCAGACCTGCTCATGTTCTCCCTCAGCTGTGCCACCTGGCTGGACCTACTTCTGTTCCTGTCCTTCATCCTTAGGGTTTCAGATCTTCTTCATCTTCCTCTTTTTTTTTTCCTCTTTATTTTTTGCCTTTTTTGCTCAGAGCATGAAGGATCTTTCCAGTGCTGTGACACTGGAGGCAGGTAAATAAAAGGGATGCTGTCTACCTGTGATTTTGAATGGGAATGTGATTGTTTCTCCCAGAGCAACTGCAATGATTTTAATCGGTTCCTTACGAATGTGGCTTCTAAAACCAGTTTGTTCTCTCAATAGGCAGCAAGTGGAGTAGTGGATATTGTGGAGGAGACCTGGGTGCAGACACAGCATCCTGTTGTGCCCAGAGCCATGTGGACCAGCACTGAGGAGTGGCATGTGGCAAGGCTGGGTTGGTGGAGACCCAGAAGCTTCATGTCTGGGGAGGCAAAAGAAGAAGCTGAGCACAGACAGGTGAGGGACATCCCAGCACCAAAATAGCTTCAAACCTGCCAGGAGGACTGGGGATGGAGTGTGTGTCAAAAGGGGGAACCTGCAGCATCCTCAACAGAAGCCTGCAGTGGTGTCTGGCATGGAATACATGTTTGGGACAAATAGTTGTATTTTTGAGACTGTTCAATTACTCAAATATGACATCTATGACATTGGATTGCTCAACAGAAGCCTGCAGTGGTGTCTGACATGGAATACATGTTAGTTGGGACAAATAGGTGTATTTTTGAGACTGTTCAATTACTCAAATATGACATCTATGACATTGGATTGACTCTCTTATCTCTGCTTAGTTTATCTTGCATGAGCATTTTGACAAGGGAGAAGGAGATGAAAAGGTGAACTGTATCAAATTGCTGACAACAACAGTGCAACAATGCCAGTGCATGACAAATTTCTTGCTCAGTTTCACCTATTCTGGCACAATCAGGCACAGACCTTAGGGTCAGCTTAGGAACAAGATGCTTACAGAGAGCCCTGTGTTAGAAAGTGAAGGGAAGAGTTTTGCTGGGACTGCAGATGTGCTATTTGCGTTGTGGTTTTTGAGGAAGAACACTTGAGGATAGGTGAGGAACCCAGACCCACTTTTCACTGAGACAAGTACCAACCCCTTTCTGCCCTGCAAATGCTATGCTGTGAGTCAATAACCCTAGCTGTTGTACACAGGTCCTTTACACTGCTGTTTAATTACATAAACACTCATGAAGAATACTTGACCAATATCATGGCCAAACTGACGTAAAAAAGTTGAAAACCACAGATCAGGTGGCAGGAAATTTGTGGAATAAGAATGTGCAGTGTTCTCTGGCGCCTGTCCTTGTGTGCTGCAAGATTATCCCAATTTCTCACAATTTCTTGTCAGGCTTTATATGAGCTTGTCCCCTAGCTGAACCCTGTTTGCCTCAGACAGTGCTCTTTGGCATCTTTTCCAAATGTGATTGCACCCTCTACCGCATGAATTACAGCTGGTTTTCTACAGACAAATACCTTTTATTCCTACTATGACTACTGATTTATGTGCCATCTTCCTGCTACAATAAATTCTACAAGACTTAAATACTAATATATACTAAGGATTCTTGCAGTGTTATGGCAACCTCGGATGATAAAATTGAGAATGCTTAATGTGATTAAGGCTCTGAATTTTAAGTTTTATTTTAAAATAAAAGAAAATGTTTGTACTACATCATTACATCTTTGTTTGCAAACCATGAGGAAATTTGAAACACAAGCCCAAAATATGGCACTGTAAAATAAAATTGCCTATTTTATTTTGCCTAGGAAGGGGAAGGCTCTTAAATAGAGAAGTGCATCACGTTGTACGGCATCTCCTCTACAGGCCTATCAAAAAATACCCCTGTACCCGCTAAAAACCGCTAAAAACCTGACTCTCACGATCCGCCCCACCAGCGCCAGTTCGGGAATGAGCGCATCTGCCCGGGGCGGGAGCGGCTGCGGCGAGCGCTGCCGCACCGAGGCCGCGGAGCGGCGCGGACAGCGGGCGACTTCTGCGGGCGACGTCTCCCCCGGCCGCCGCAGCCCGGGGCGCTCCGCGGAGGCGGTGCCGGTGCCGGTGCCGGTGC